ACGGTGGCAACCACGTAGCAGATGCTCGGCAAACGTCAGCTTCGCTTTAGATTCCAAGAATCTAAAAGCACTGTCCATTATTCTTAGGAACAAAATGTGATTTACAGTCACTAGAAGATAAAGTGCACACTTAAAATGATGCGCTGAGTTCCAAGAGACAACTCTTGTCATCAGTGAGTTGGGGCTTTTTCTCCTACACCGTCTTGGAAGCTTTCCTGCAGACGAGTGGTCTCCCTCTGCAAACCCAGAGACCCACAGCCGCGGAGGCCTGTTGAAGTTGGTTGTGAGGGACCGCTGCTTCTCTTCAACAGGCGAGTTGAAGAGATTCCCCAAAATCGAACAGCTAAAGCTCCACGTTTAAAAATTTCAATTAATTGCTAGTAAACCACACATTTAAGGTTATTGCCTGACAACTAGGATTATACTTTAAAAGGTAACATACTGATTGTCATCATTTGCAGCAAAATCACCCTGTACATTTCTGTGTTCCTAAATTAATAAAATGATCTCTGACCTGAGTAGGGATTGTGTATATTTTAATTTCCTCGTACACCTTCACCCACTGCACCCCATCACTTAGAAACGCAGCCGAGCCTTTTCCCCAAGGTGTCTGTATTAGAGGGAAGTTTAATTTCTCCTCCGGACCCCTTCCCACTTCCTCTGGGATTTGTTTCCCACAACTACTCGCACAGGTACCCACCTTCTCTCTCCAGCGGAGCTCCCCGCAGGAGGAGCCGGGAGAAACCCAAGTCCCAGCATGTGAGGGAGTGGCACTCAGGGCTGCATCCTCTAGACCTTGCCTTCAAAGGGTTTTGCTTTGTTTTGTTGTCAGCGCTTGCACCAGGTTCCTCTGCGCCAGGCCCTGTGCCAGGCACTGACAGCAGACACGGAGACAGGCGAGACCCACCTTTTTTTTTTTTTTACTGGAGCAGGAATGTCTTTATCTGTATAATGGGAATAATAATCATGGAATAATAACTTAGCCCTTCTCAAGGGGTTGTGTGGGGGTTGAGCTAATGGACGGGGAAGTGCTTTATAAATTATTAAAGTGCTCTATAAATACGAAGAAGGGCCAGGTATAGTGTGGAAGAACATGTTAGAAAAGACAGCTTGGTTTTCTACACCCTTTTTGTTGTTAAAGATTTTACTTATTTTTAGAGAGAGGGGATGGGAAGGAGAGAGAGGGGGAGAGAAACATCAATGTGAGGTTGCCTCTTGTGTGCCCCCTACTGGGGACCTGGCCCACAACCCTGGCATGTGCCCCGACTGGTAATTGAACTGGTGACCCTTTGGTTCGCAGGCCAGTCCACAGTCCATTGAGCCACACCAGCCAGGGCATACACTCCCCTTTTTTATGATAATAAAACAACAATGGCCATTTATTAAGCACCTATTACATACTAGCCATTTTATAGCAGTCTTGCTAGTCCTCACCACAACTCCACGAGAGAGTCTTGACAGTCTCTGTTGGAGGTGCTCTCACCTTTGGCAGGTGCTCTGCAGGCCGCGGGGCAGGGCCCAGGGATCCTGGAGAGAAGCGTCAAGGGAAGGCGGACTGAAGAGGAAGAAGGGGTAGGTGCATTTTTCTCTGGATCGCAGAGGCGAAATGAGGACCGGGGTTCTGGGAACTTCTCGAAAAAGAAATAGGAACAGCAACCAGGGACAATGACCTCAGGGTTTTTGTCAGTTTCTAAATCCCTATAACTTCCCCTTATTGGTTCTTCCATTATTCATGCCTTTTGCCCGTAGGGAGAAGCAGTGAAATCCATTCTTTTTTTTCTTTTTTTTTTTGTAAAGATTTTGTTTATATATCTTCAGAGAGGGGGGAAGAGAGGGGGAAGGAGAGGAGAGAAACATCGATGTGTGAGAGATACACCAACTGGTTGCCTCTTACATGCCCCCAACGGGGGACCTAGCCTGCAACCCAAGCATGTGCCCTGACTGGGGATTGAACTGGCGACTTGTCAGTTTGCAGGCCACCACTCAATCCATGGAGCCACACCATCCAGGGCGGAATCCATCCTTCTGACGCTACATGTTTAAGTGTCTTCTCTGGAGACAGGCAGGCCCAACGAGGTGGGCCTGGGATAGCTCTTCAGAGGCCAGAGAAGGGGATGTTCAGAGTCCTGTTCCATGCTCACTTTCATTATGTGTGACGGCCCCAGAGGACCAAGAGCATGGGGGTGGCTAGAAAGAAGGATGGAAAGCCCGTGGTGTCTAGAGCCTTCAGGAACAAAGAAAAGGGGAATGCAGGGATCTGAGTCCAAGCTGGTCCTGAGCTGGGGTGGACTGAGAAGGCAGAGGACTTGGCCCTGTCCCTGCAGAAGGCTGTCCCAGGGCTGAGCTGAGGGCTTGGCTGAGCTGTGTCCTCCCTGGCCTTCTAGGCCTGAAGTTTCTCTTCCTCCTCCCTCCTCCCTCCCTCTGTTCCACAGCGGCCCACCCGCATTCTTGGGGAATCATAGGCTAAAAATAGACCGTTGCCACCACCCTCTGGGCCTGGGGAAATCAGTTCAACATGTGTCCTGTGGACAGTTCATTGGGACTGAGTTAGGGGATTGAAGGGATGACAGTTAAAGGTCCGAGGACCCCCAACTGTTGATGCAAATAGTTCCCCCTACCCCAGCCTGGCCCTTTGAGAACCAAGCCCTCCAGCCTTCAGCTCCATGACCTTCTAAGGCTGGGCTATTTGGGTCCCAAGCAATGTCACTGTGCCTGCTGGACAGATAGAGCATGTGGCAAAAAATAGCTTCACCCCCTTGCAATATTCCTACCCATAACTGGACACAGCGAGTCTTTATCAGTCCAGAGGCATGCTCCCACTGGAGCAAAGGTGCTGCTCTGGGCACGCAGAACCCGTGACTCCTTAGCCCAGAGTGGACCTCGTGGGGCTCTCGTTACCAACAGCATCGTTGGAATCCTTTGGAACCAAGTCCAGCCGTCAGGGCAGGTGGTGGGGGTGGGCTAATGTCAACCGTCAGTGCCCATCTGTCAGCTAAGGAACCTTTCTGGGTCTTATCTGTCCTCTACTCTCCAGCCTGTGTCTCTGACAAATGTGGGTCCACAATCAAAACATGCGTGATGGCTCCAAAGAGTGACGTTCCCTCAGACCCTCTCCTTGGACTTTGTCTACAGGAATCCAGAGGCCGGAAGACCCTCCCTGGCTCTGTGTTGGCTCCACATGTGACTACATAGAGACTGCACCTCCGGGTCAGGCACCCCCAGGCTGCTAATAATAACAACGACACTAGCTATTGCGAACTGAGCTCGGCTGAAGTACCAAACGCAGTGATCACAACTTTGCACGGCTTCGTGTGATTATCTCCTTCAATCCTCACACCTTATAGTTTCATACACACTTTACCAGAGGGAAAAACGAGGCACCAAGGGAGTAAGTTGCTGCCCATGTGCACACACATGGTGAGTGATGGAGCCTGGGTCCGATGGGGTCCTACCAGTCTGACTCCAGATCCCATATCCAGAGCCCCTAGAGGGAGCGTCCTGTTACAGATGCAGGGCACTAAGGGAAAGGGCCAGGGAAGCCACAAAGCCAGTAGCAAGGGTCCCCAAAGCACTTCCCTGGAGAGCTGTCACTGTGCCCTGTCCACTGCTGTGGCCCCAGCTCCTGCTTGTCCCCACAACACGTGCAAGCCAGCCTGACCCCTGAGGCTGTGCATGTGCGTTTCCCTCCAGTTCTAATGCTCTTCCCTCTACTTTGCACCAACCAGCTCTTGCTCATCCTGCAGAGGCTCAGCTTACTGGCCCTTTCCTCAGGGAAGCATGGTCCAGCCAGGTTTATCCTCACCACACCATGTGCTTCCACTTTCCAGGCTTTAGTATGGTTACTATTGAACTACGTGTTAGAATCATCTTGTAGTGCGTCGCTGTCTCTCGCACTAGAGTGGAAGCTTTGGGAGGGCAGGAGCTACGTGGATCTTGTTCACCAAGGCATTACTCCTGTGACTCTGCATCGTGCCAGCACAGACTAGGGGCTCAGTAAGTATTTTAGAATGGAGTGAGGAACTGATGAATGACTGACCTCTTGAACGTTGACTGACCCAGACAGAGATTGTGAGTGGAGCTGGCTGAATGGGAAGTGGCCGTCTGAGGCACAGGGAGGGAGGGAGGGGTGTGGAGGCGGCTGCCATGAGATACAGAGCCTTGTCGGGGGTGGCACTGGAGAGAGACAGGAAGGGCCTGGGTGACCTTTGATGAACTAGATCACCCTGAGATTCTGTCCAGCTATGAAATGCTTTGACTCGGTGCGAGGATGGGCTGGTGTCCGGGATGTTAGCCTTTTGAGGCTGTCTCCCCAGGGCTCTCAAGGTTTCCCTGAGCAATCCATCAGAATGAATCCCACCACGTGGGTTCTGAACCTGGGGAAGAAACAACTGTATAAAACTGCCTGGAAATGGTTCTGGTGGAAGCTTCTCCCAGCGGTGAATTCTGGAGGGTGGGGTTCCTGAGGGGTTCTGCTTTCTACCTCACATGCTTCTGTCATGATTGACTTCCTCCTCCTTCTCTCCCTTCCTTCCTCTCTCCCTCCCTCCTTCCCTCTTTCCCTCCATTTTCCCCCAACATAAATGATATTACCTTTGTATGCAGAGTAACAAAGTCAAGTTATGAAAGATGTCTTCTTCCAATACTTCAGGGTAGAAACGTTTCCCTAAGACGTTTCTGGTGGAAAAAGAGGGAACATGAAGGAAGAGGGACTGTAAGGGAGTGGCTGGATTAGAATGAACAAATCACTGATCATTTTTTAGTTTGCTTATTTTTTAAATTAGCATGAAGTCAAATGGACTTTTTGTGTTCATTTCTATAGATTTTAAGGTATGTGTCGATTTGGGTAACCACCGATGCAGATCAGGATATGAATTGGTTCTGTCAGCCCCCAGACCTCCTGGAGCTGCCCCGCTGTAGTCACAGCCTTGCTGCAGCCCCACCCCCACCAGCCGCTGACCTGCCCTTGTCGTTGCCGTTTTATTTTTGCAGGAGCGTGTCATAGACGGGGCGTTGTCGTGTGCAACCTTGGAGACTGGCTTCTTTCCCATCGCAGGTATCAGTAATTCGTACCTCTTTTTTTTTCTTCTCTGATAACTTTCTAGTAGTATTGACTTACTACAGTTTGTCTTTTCGCCGCTCAAAGGACATTTGAGTCACTTCTAGTTTTTGGTGATTACAAAGAGAGCTGCTATACACATCTGTCTACAGGTTTTTGTGTGAATGTGGGTTTTCATTTCTCTCGGGTGATTGCCTAGGAAGGTGATTGCTGGGTGTTAAGTGTAGGGTTAACTTTATAAGAAAGCGCCAAACTGTTTCCCAGAGTGGCTGTGCCGCTTTGCGCTCCCACCAGCGATGCATGAGGGTTGCAGTTTCTCTGTGTCTGGCCAGCACTTGCTGCTGTCAAAATTTCACCTTGATTTTTTAAGCCATTCTAATAGGTGTGTAGTAATTCTCATCTTAGCCTTATTTTGCATTTCCCTAATGGCTGATGCTGTTGAATAGCTTTTAATTTATTTATTTTATTTTTTTGCTATAATCTATCCTTTTTGGTCAAGTGTCTGGTCAAGGGTCTGGTCCGTTTCTTAACTGGGTTTCAAGAGATCTTTTTATATATATCCTGGATATCATCGGCCTTTTGTCAGATGTGTGATTTGCAAATATTTTCTCCCAGGCTATAACTTGTCGGTTCATTCTCTTAACATTTTCTGTCACAAGCAAATATTTCCAATTTTTAAAAATTTTATTGTTGGTTTGAGAGAGAAGGGAAGGGAGGGAGAAAGCGAGAGAGAAGCATCGATGTGAGAGAGAAACATCGATCGGCTGCCTTTTGAACATGCTCTGACCTGGGACCGAACCTACAGCCCAGCACGTGCCCGGACGAGAACCGAACCAGAGACCTTTTAGTTTGCAAGGGTGCAAGACAACACCCAACCAACGGAACCCCACCGACTGGGACGAAGATTTTTAATTTTGATGAAGAAAATTTCTATCAGGTGTTTTGTCCTTAATAGAGCATGCTTTCGACTCTTTGTCTGAAAGCTCTTTGCCTAACATCATTTTTTGATCATTTTCTTAGGGCTAGTCTGGGCAGCCCACATTGCTTAACTCCATTTGATCTTCATGGCAGTCCTATGAGAGTGGTCCTATTTTATATAACCTCATATTGCAGATGAGGAACCTGAGGCACGGAGAGCTGAAATAATTTGCCCATGGCTCACCCGGCTTTCAGTGGCAGAGCCGGGGTCTGACTGCATGCCTCTGGGACCTCACAGCCCACCCTCTTCACCACCAGGACCACCTTGAGACTCTGCCCTGGAATCCCACTGGAGAGTCATCAGAGCAAGGAACCAGTAACATTTGCTCCTACGTGTCATTCAGTTTTGAGCTTAAATGTCACCTCCTGAGGGAGATCTTCCCTGGCCACTCCATCTAAAATAGGTCCCTCTTTTCCCCTCCCTTCCCCTTGCTACCTTTGCCCCTACCCCCATCTCTTAACAGAGAATGAGCTTCTCCAAGGCACATCCCATCATCTGAAATTTGTTAGCTTTCTTCTATTGTTTGTTTTCTTCTACAAAACTTGTTTCTTCCCCACTGGAAGTCCAGCTGGGTGAGAGCAGGACCTTCTCTTTTCACCTCTCTATCTCTCACTGCTAGTGAGTGGCGCAGAGGGAGTACTCACCAAATACTTGTTTGTGGGTGTTCGTGGAAGGATGGATGCATGGATGGGTACATGGATGCATGGATGGATGGATGCATGGATGCATGGATGGGCGCATGGATGGATGCATGGATGGGCGGACAGATAGTTGGATGGACGGGGAATTGCCTCAGTGGGGGAAATTCAGCTTCTCAAGCAGAGAAAAACAATTGCAACTTTGGAACAAATCAGGCTCTGGCTGGAAGAAATCAAAAGGTATCTTCCATGTGAACATACGTGTATGGGTGTATAGACATACACAGCTTTGTGTTTAAAAAATAGAACGTATACGCGCACACGCTGGCGTATGCCTGGAGTGTCTCTGGGAGCATACACAAGAAACTGGTACAGAACTAGGTGGCTAGGCTTGTGAGGGAGGGAATGAGGCTCACTTTTCACTACAATACTCTTTTATTTATTAAAGATTTCCTATCAGGTGCATGTGTTGTATATTCAAAACTGACATCTCTTTTTAGGATAATAATAATAGCGAGTGCCTTCCCCCTGGGAAACTAGGCAGCAGAGCAGGCCAAGAGGTTAACCAGAGGAAGTTATTCAGAAGACAATTAACTTCTCTCCAACCGGCAGCTCATTGTAGGAACTGGAGCAAGGTAAGCGTTCTAGCGGCAAAGGTTTTCTGAGAGTAGACAGGCAGACGCCTTTTATGAAGCCATTGTTAGTGAGCAGGGCTTGTCAAATAATCTTTAATGGAGTCCATGCTCATTGTAACAATTTGAACTTTAAGATGTATCCGAAGCAAAACCGACACCCTCCAGTTCAACTCTTTTAACACTGTAATTAGAAATTTTGTTTCCTTACCAATTTTTTTGTTTTGTTTTGTTTTGTTTTGTTTCTTTGCTTAAACAAGGGTTCGGGATGATTTGGGTATGTTTATTTCCATTTTCTATGAAAATGGAATCAAACCATAGACAAGGCTGTTTAACATCCTTTCTTTGCTTCGCAGGTTTTAGAGATAACAGTACGTTGGCATGCGTGGGCCTTCCTCATCTGCATCAACAGCTGTGTGACATGCAGTTGTACTGCTGCAGCCGGGGGTTCTGGGTTCTTGTCACGACAAAACCGTTGCAATGACTACTCTCGTCCATCTGTCTATTTGTATCACTACCTATTATTGTTTTCATTTCTGCAAGTTGTCACACATTTCTGCTTTTGCCACAGGATTTCAGAAAAATTCTCTAAAAGACTGCAATACTTTTTATAACCCAACAGTGCATATGGTAGTGTCGGTTTTCTTACGCCTTCATCTGCCATGAGTATTACCGATCTTTTTCATTTTTGCCAGTACTGGAGGCATGTGGGAGCTCATGGTTCAATTTTCGTTTCCCTACTTATATATACGTTTGTTTCCCACTTTCATTTCCTCTTCTGGACACCGTTCACATTCCCTGCCTGGTTTTTCACTGGGCCGCCTGTATTTTTCCAGTTTGTTTGCAGGAGCGTGTTCATACCAGGGGTAGTAAACCTTTGCTACATGAAGTTGAAATATTTTCTCCCACACTCTCATTTATTTTTTGACCTCCTTCGTGATGTCTTTCATTATATAGAAGTTTAAGATTTTTATGTAATCAAATCTAGTTTTCCTTCAGAGCTCTGTGTAACCACAGATGTTTGTGTAACCCAGTGGTTTTTGGGCTGTGCTCCTAACCTTTGGGTTTCATGGGGATGAGTAGATGTCACGGGGGTTGGGCTGTGTGAGTCCGTTGGCTGTTAGGAGCTCACCACCGCCCCTTCCTCTGTTTTTATTGACCGCCCACACGCTGCAGCCAGTGCTGTAGTGGACAAAGGCCTAGGATCTGCAGCTGGAATTATCGGGCAAAAGCTTTAACCTCCGTGGGCCTTAGTTTCTTAATTTCTTAATCTGTGAGACGGGGACTTAGAACAGGGCCTGCCCCTGGGCTGGAGGTGAGCCTTCAGAAGCTGGCACGTGGAAAGCCACAGCTGAGTCAGCACTGCCCATGCGCCCATCGCTGTAGGCGATGTGCATCCAGCATCCATGTGCTCTCAGCGTATCACTAAAACCTGCCTAAGAGGTGAGCAGCAGCATCCCTGGTTTACAGAGAAGGAAGCTGAGGCCCAGCGAACTGAACTAACTTGTCTAAAGGCACATGAATAGTGAGGAGTGGCGCCAAGATTTACACCCTTGTCCCTGTGTGACTTGAAGGCCGTGGTTCTTCTCTTATCCACTCTCTACAGCCCATGGACATATACTGTTATGTTCCTGCCCAGGGAACATGACAGTGTCAGGCTCTTATTGCTCACAGTCCACTGGGTGAGGCAGTCGTTAACAACTGGACAATTACAAACTGGAGCTGAGTGCAGCAGTTATGAGCTGTGCAATGAGACACAATAATGATGATTGCTCCTTTAGACTGGGAGATTAGGAGAGGCCCTCCTGAGCATGTCTGTATTACCTGAGATGTAAAGAATGAGTAAGAGTCAGCCAGGTGGAAGCGGATGCTTATCAAGCAGGCAGGCTTCAGGGATGGAGTAGAAAGGGTCAACATGGCAGGGAGGCAGCCTGTGCAACGTTTGTGGTGGGCAGGGTGTGGTCACAGGACGCCAGGGCAGGCCAGGCCTATGGGGGCCGAGATAAAGAGTTTGAACTTGATTCTAAAGCCAAGGGGATGCCGTGGAGGGTCTAAGGAAATGCTGTGATCTGATTGTACTTCAAAAATATCACGCGGTGGTCCTGTTCATACCCTATGGTGAAATAATTGTAGTCCTAGGTAGCTAGCCAACGAAAATGCATACTTACGTGCACCAAAGATAAAAATATTGACAACTGCACTCTTTGTAATAGCCCCAAATTTAAACCACTTAAATGACTCTCAGTATGAAACTAAATAAAGATATAGTCAGACAATGGAATATTACACAGCAAGGAAAATGAACAAACTATAATTACCTATAGCAATATAGATGGATCTCACAGACAAAATGATGGGTGAATTAAGGCAGGTATAAGATACTACATACTGCATGAATCCACATACGTAAAGTTCAAAACAACCAAAACAAATGTTTGGTTAGAAGTCAGGGTAGTAGTTAGTTATCCTGGGAAAGAAATGGCGGTGGCTAGGAGGGGGTGTACAGGGGTCCTGAGATGCTGGCAATGTTCTGCAGATTTGGGGGGGTTAGTTTCCATTTTTATTTTTTTACTTTATTGTATTTGTTCCCCACTACCATTCATCCCGCCGCACCGTCTCCCACCTGCACCCTCCCTCGCCCTGCTTCTGGATCTGGGCGTGGGTCACACAGGCGTGTTCACGTTGGGCAAACTCATCAGGCTCAACGCTCTGATTTGTGCACGACTCTATCGTCTGCTGCATTCTGGTCAGCAGGTCAGCACGGAACTGCAAAGGGGCCAGCACGGTCTGGGCGAGACGAGGTAGGGCTACTGCAGAGTCCAGGTGAGTGGCAGTTGGCCCAGGGGGTGGCTGCGGCGGTGGAGACATGAAGATGGATGGGAGAGAAGGGTCCACAGAACGGGTGGTGGCGGGAAGAGGGGGGCCTGTGAGCAGGGGCAGGGGTGGTGGAATCAGAGCTGCCTCTCCAGCTTCTTGCACGGGCACCTGGGTGGCGGGGGTGGCAGAAGTAAGATGGAGAAGGTAGGGGAGGCACAGATTTAAAGAGGATGGCAGAATCCAAGGCCTTGGTCCTGGACATGTAAAATTTGATGTTTCCAAAGGCAACATCATGGGAGCAGGTGGCTGTACAAATGTACAGTAAGACTTCATTTGATAAGAAGATTCTGGGTGCTTAAGAGAGAGAGAAAAATTAAAAACCACCATTCTAGCCCTTTTTCCTTTGACAGAGTGCTTACAGTTCCATTACCTCCTTCCATTTAATGTCATGACAAAGACTGTTGTAAGGGAGGCAAGAGGGCGGTGATGTGGGGATGCCGTTTCTTTATGTAGAAAGTAGAGATGCATTCATGTGTATGCTGTTCCGTGGACATGCTCTATCTATCTACTGAAAGAGCAGACCCTGGGACAGGAGCCTGGGCTGTCCCACAGGCCCTCAGGAAAGAGCTCTTAGCACTGGCCATGAGGCCTGGCCGGGAGGAGTCCTCACCAACGTTGCACCCTCATCATTTGCTCCGTTTGCTGGAGTCTCCACGGTTCAGCCAGGCAGCACATGCTCTCTGTCTGCTGAATGTGCTACGTGCTTTCCTCGTTCCAGGACTTTGCATCGTCTGTGTCCTCTGCCTGGGTGCTTGTTCACTCTTCGCTGGGCTTACCACTGCATTCTTCACATCTCAGCCTAATCCATTGTTTTCAGGAAGGCTTCCCTGCTCCCTGAGCGGGATGTGCTCCTGACCTGTTTACCCAAGGCCACCAGTGATGCCCGAGGTGACTCTCACTTCTCTTTATAGTAGGACACATCCAGCATCCGTCTTGGCCACCAGACTGAGTTCCAGGGCAGGGGGCAGGGAACTCTGCCTGCCTTCTTGTCCCTGTAACCTGACACGGAGCACAGTGCTCAGTACAGGGACCGTTGACTGATTTGTCCCATGACCTCCCAGACCGAAGGCTGTGTCCTGCTCCCTGGCACCAGGTGCCAAACTTGTCTTCACAGCCGTGTTTTTCTTTGCCTTCTGGAATAAACTCTCAGGACCCAGTGATGACCTTGAAGCCAGGAGATCTAGCATCCACTGTGCACTTCGGGACTTGTCCTTGTGTTTAGAAAATCCCCTGAAAATGTTCACGACCATGACTGGCCTGGTACTTACTATTTTAACACACTACTTGGACACAGTTTATAGGCAGATTGAAGCCAAAACCTGCCCTCACCCTTTACAAGGGACTAATTAGGGTCAAACTCACTGGGACCAATAGTCTGAAATAACGTAAGCTCATGAAGACGTCCAGTGACAGGGTCAGCAGTGTGGACAGTGATCCTGGAAGAGGCGATAGTCACAGAGCACCGAAAGCTGTGTCACAAAGGCATAGGAACATGAACACCTTTTGCTGCAGCAGTTCTACCTCAAGGGATTAATTCTGATAAACGAATGCATGGGAGTAAAGGTGAATTTATGAGGTTTCGCTCATCACAATGAAAAAAAAGGAGGTTGGTTATCAGTGGAAACCCAGACAATACCTTGCCGCCATTGAAAGTGATGTTGTACATATATCACTGACATGGAATTATGTCCATGACATGTTGTGTGTATGTGTTAGGAGCTGTTCCTCGGCAAGTGAGAGAAATCCATCTCAAAAAAGAAAAAGCACAGGGAGGATTTGTTGACCTGTGGGACCCAAAGGGGTGTAGGACAACCAAGTTTTGGGAAGGAGCCCGGTGTGCCCAGACCTTAAGAATGGCTGGAATCTGGACGAGAATAGCTCCGAAACTCCCTCTCTGTCTGCCATGCTTGCCCCTCCCTGCATGACGGATTCGCTTTTCACTGCAGACTGATGGTGGGGCAGAAGGTTTGGGACACTGGAAGAGAGTCTACCTGAAGCTGTCTCTAGCTTGAAATCCAAAAGCCCCAAGCCAGGAATATTTGGGCCACTATAGGTCAGGTACCCAAATTAGAACTAGTCAACCGTGGCAGGGTAGCTAGGCACTGTGATTGGCCCAGCTGGGGTTAAGACCTGCCTCTGTACCAATCAACCAAGACCAATGGAGGGGTCTCCTTGCCCTACCAGGGGAGCTCCCGAATTTAACAGAGGTTATTATTTCCCAGGGAGGAGGGCTGGGCCAATACTCTCAGTTATCGTCCACCCATTGTTAAGGGAAATGGATAACAAAACAGTAAGCACAGTGAGGTCCCGTTTCTGTGAAAACATGGGGTAGAAGGGAGGATACGATAAGAGAAAGAAGGAGGAGAAGATATTCTAAAATGTTAACATTGATTTTCTTGTAGCTGTGCTGTTTTCTACAATGAACACCAGTTATTTGCAAGATTAAAAAATTGTTAAGAGAGGAAAGCTACATGGACTCCATGAGTATTTGGAATGTCAACTACCATTCGTGTCTCTTGCCTTCAGCCAGCTCATGTTAGATTTGAAATATAAATGATTCTGTGAACTGCAGACCTCTTTGCAAATGTCGCCAGCCATTCCCCCACCC